ATAAAAATTTTGTTTTTTCAAATTTCCAAAACGACTTAATATCATTTTTACCGATCTCGAAAAAAAGTCGGTAGAACGTTTTTGAAAAACGTAAAAAATTTTATTTTTTTACCGATTTCGAAAAAAAATCGGTGGAACGTTTTTGAAAAATGTAAAAAATTTTCTTTTTTCAAATTTCCAAAACGGCCTAATATTATTTTTACCGAAATATTTATCTCGAAAAAAAATCGGTAGAACGTTTTTTAAAAAATGTAAAAATTTTCTTTTTTTACCAATCTCGAAAAAAAATCGGTTTTTAAAAAACGTAATTACTTCGATCTTCTTCGAAGCTAACTTTCGAAAAGAAAGGGGTTGGGGGGAGGATAAATAGGAGGAAACAAAGTACACAACGTGTATGAGAAACAAACTGAAAATAGTCGGGTTCTAATCCTGGCGAAGTATCTCGCGTAGATACTCTCTCTCTTCTTACGTTCCATCGTAAGAATAGAAAAGCTTCACGGTGCAAAGACAGATTCTATTTAGTAACTTGGTTCACCATTGTCTCTTTGACTTTGGATTCCTTTATCGTTCCCTTAACGCTTTTATTATTGCCCCCTCCTTCCTCTCTCTCTCAGGCTTAAGAGGATTTAGCAGACGATGCGAGAATCTATCTATGGGACGTGTAAAAAAAAAAAAAAGAAAAATCCTTTCCATTCTGTTTCCACTGTATGGAACGTGTTGGATACGTGTTAATGGGATACTGGTAACAACTAACAACTCTCACGTCACATACGTACGTGTATATTATTTCTAATTCCATCCTCTTTAAAATTAATAATTCGAATCAAGATCCGTTATATTTAAGAAAAATAATTCATTTCCTTCTTGTATCCCGTGTACGAAATATTGTCACAAATTTATTTCCAAAAAAAAAAAAAAAATAGTGCTTTTCATTCTGTTTTCACTGTGTTAACGAAATACTCGTTACATCTCACATTCGCACGCGTATACAATTTCAATTCCATCGTCTTTAAAATTAATAATTCGAATCAAGATCCGTTATATTATACGTGAAATATTACCGCAATTTTATTTCAAAAAAAAGTGAAAAAAAAAAAATAAACAAAAAGTGAAATCGCAACAAAAATCGAAGAAAGATATATATACACTATATATATACGCGGTGATCCGGAGGAAAAGAAATCTCCGAGGAAAATCGTAGGCCCTCGTATACCTCGTATCCGATTGCACGAGGATCGATAATAAACGAACGTTATCCCATGGTTGCGGCGACCTGTCGATTGCACCTGGTCCTGCGCGTACATACACCGGTTCGGCGGCGCAACACGGCATATCTGGTCCTGTTTGATGTCCAGGACCGGGTTCCACGGTCCGGATCGTGAGCGGAGGGTTAACGGGCGAGGGGAGGGAGAGGGGAGAGGAGAGGCTCGCTTTCTCGCATCCGTATAAGGCTTGTGCGTGCATACTGCAACTTGCAATGCTGTTCGATCCTCCTTCTCTTTCCCCCTTTCTCTTTCTCTCTCTCTCTCTCTGTCTTCGTCCATCTTTCTTCCTCTTTCGAAAGTACGAAGAGAAGAAGAGGGCTGGCACGAAACCTTGGGGCCACGAATTCGAGACTGGCCGGCCGGCCGGCCCATTCGACCACGAAACGTGCTTGCTAGTAATTATCGCGAGAAGGTTTGCTTCGCCCCGCGGCCGTGTTCCTCGCCTGGCTGCGAACGCGGGATGCATCATCGCAGACGCGTCGATGCGTCTCGCCAGGCGTTATCGAATTAACCGCAACTCTCGAGAACCGTGTTTATTCCGTTTATACACGTTATACACGCTATATACACGCGCGCGCGCGGATACGAATGCCTTTTGTCGAGGCTCTAACTTCCACGTAATGAGATTAGTTACGCGACCGACAATGCATCGAGAAATTTTGTTTCTCTCGTGCAAGGTGTGCGGCAACGAGTCTCTTCACTCGTATTCACACGCGTAACACGATGTCTTCATTCGTCTTCATTTGTTGCCGATACCCAAGCTACCGTATCGAACTATACCATACGAAATATATAT